CATATTTAGTTGATACCTGTTCCTTTGTGCTTTGATTGCAATTTTTTAGCAAATGGGTACAGGAGCAAAAATGAAGGTAAGGTGAGATAAAACAATAAAAACAATATTAATATGTGTCTGCAAGAGCATATGTCTCGATATATTACCTAAGATATTTAAACTTGTTCCAGATGCCATGAAACTACTGTGTTCCTGGGTGCAAATCGAACTATTAGGAGTTCCTTAAAAACTGAAGAAATGCAAACATTTTCATTTCCAAAAAAATTCTGAATTGCAAAAAATGTGGATGAAAGCAATACACCAAGATAATTATACCCGAGATTATACAATAACGAAAAATTCTGTGGTGTGTTGTAAACATTTTGAAGAAACCGAAATAATTAGATTTGAAACAAACAAGGATAAAGGCGTAGTTCGAGAGTTCAAACTGAAACGTCCAACTCTTAAAAGTAGGTACCTCTTATTTTCGAAAATCAGCTCAAGTATTTGAATGGACCTGCCTTCCGAAAAAATTCCGAAAAAAGAAAAAGTTAGATTTTTCAAAAGACATACTGAAACATAGGCCTATAACACAGACTCTAGAAATATATTCATTTAAATCAATTATTTACTGTTCTTATTTACACAAATAGTTATATTATTCATTGAATTACTGTTTTTGGCCCTTTAGTACAATAAATTATGCATTTTTCGTGATTCATATTATTAAAATAAAAAATATATATTTATAAAAACAAACACCACCAGCACCACTTGGCGGTAAGATTGCGGTGTTGCCTTTTTAACTTCATGGCTTGTTAAATGTAGGAGGCTGTGGTATTACAAATACAGCTGTATTCCTTTCAAGAGTTTAGAACACTCGAGCTACTCGCTCCAGTGTTAGTTGCCCCCGATTTGTAGAAAAAATGCGTGGTGCAAGAAACACTTTTTGAAAGGAATAAACGTGTAACGCCCCAGCCAGAGCTGTTCCGGACCTTCTCCTAGGTGTGAAAGAAATACAACTTATGGTTTAGGAAGAAAGAGTGCACACTGGGTAGCATCCCGGATATTTTCGAACTAGTGTGAAAGTCAACCGGAGTTTATACCAATTTATTTTCGAACAGCTGGTGTGCACTCGGTGTGACGCCCAGGGGGACTTTATTTGAAAATGATGCAACTTTGCGTACACGCAAATGACGTCATTCTCGATTGAAAATTGGTGCACGGCGTGGATGCACCCGCACCCATAAAATTGCGGATGCTTGAGAGGACAGCGGAGAGGAAAAACGAACAGTTTACTGTTCAGTTGCGCGAAACTCTAATGCACTGGAACGCCTATAAACAGCCCGGGGCGCTCTAGACCCGGACCGAAATGAAATATCGGTTCCGTTACGGTCCGGTTCTAAGAGAAATACGTATGTATTTCGATTCGGTTCGGACCAATAAATTAGGTTTTAACGGTTCATACCGATATAGTTTTTCACATATTCAATCTAATGGCGTTTCCGATTGGTAAATTCAGTGCGCACTGAGTGTATTTGCATTCTTTTAATCGACCTGTAGAAGAAAAAGACAGAAATAGAAAAAATTGCACTAGTTCCGCATTAAATCTACCAATCGGAAACGCCATAACAGAAAAATGTTAAGCGATTGACCAGTCGGTCCTCTTGACAGATAAGAATGCAATGCATTTAACGTCAGTTTAGCTTGAGATCAATTGGTTGACAAATGACGGTTAATTGATTGTTTATCTATCAAGCAAGATGACCGATCGGTCAGGCAACATGTATTTGGCCGACCAAATGTTAATTTTTCAATATTCGCCATACTCAATCGTTTGGTGGTCTTTGGTATCCCACTTTTAATATTTGGTGGTAATTACTTAGGCAGTAATTAACAATTAAAAATTTCATATGACGTTGGCCGACATAACCTGATTCTAATTTATTTTTTGGCCCATTTATAGTCAAATCGAACGGAAATCGTTTGGTGGTCACGAATTTACCGAATTTAGCGTTTGTTAGTCAATAATACCGGAGTAATTAATCAATTAAGATTGTTTTCTGATATATTTTAATTAATCGTCGCGCATGCGCATATATTATCTGTTTTTCATTGAGCCGCCTCGATCGCGGCGTTGCCGTTGAGATCCGGAACTGGCGGTGGGCCGGTGGCGAGTCAACTCGCGAGTCGCGGACTCTGCTTGTACTGGATACTAAGTAAGTATAGATACCTACCTAATTATTCGTTGATTGTAATGAAATAATTGATTTGATTGATAATTATAGAATAGGTAGGCAACGCCGCGATCGAGGCGGCTCAATGAAAAACAGATAATATATGCGCATGCGCGACGAATAATTAGAATATATCAGAAAACAATCCCGTGCGTTCGTTATTTTGGTCTGAGTTCTCCGAGCATGACTTTACCGTTCGTTTATTCAAAAAGTGTACTCGGTGCAGCCTCATTCGCGTTCGTTTATTAAAATTTCTGGCACTTTTATATAGCGTTCAACTGCTCTGTTCCCTCGCTGGTCACGTGATTACGGCTCCGCTCAGCACGCTCTGCTCTTCGAGCAAAATACCGAACGCAAGGTTAATTGATTAATATCTCCGGTATTATTGACTACCAAACGTTAAATTCGGTAAATTCGTGACCACCAAACGATTTCCGTTCGATTTGACTATAAATGGGCCAAAAAATAAATTAGAATCAGGTTATGTCGGCCAACGTCATATGAAATTTTGAATTGTTAATTACTGCCTAAGTAATTACCACCAAATACTAAAAGTGGGATACCAAAGACCACCAAACGACCACCAAACGATTGAGTAAGGCGAATATTGAAAAATTAACATTTGGTCGGCCATACACATGTTGCCGATCGGTCAATTGCATATAATGGGCTTGTTTCTGTAATTTGTGGTTTATTTTTTATTGTAGTTCTCTGCCTATCTGCAACAACTTTAATGAATTAAATAAATAATAATAATTGAACATTTTTGTGTTTTCGATCAGTTAATTATTAAAAAATATCAATCCCTCACTAGGCCATAGTACCAGTGATGACGTGGTCAGCGTGTTGTTTCTCGCCTTGACGTAGGGTGCTTGCACCACAGGTCATGATCGCGCTGATTTTTGCTTTATGCATTTGGTTTACCCACAAAAAGTGCTTTTCTCCGAATAAAAGATGCGACTTTTTCCGGAAACCGTATTCAAATGATGGAATCAAGGAAATAAATATTGTCAAAAAGGATTAGATGTAGAAAAAAGTAAAATAAGATTGTTGCGCTTACTCTGCTTATGGCCATTTGCACGACTATCACTTAAGGGTTATTTAATTTGAGTGGAGCTTTGAATGTGACTTATGTTTCTACAAGAGTCACATTCAAAGCTCCACTCAAATTAAATATCCCTTAAGTTATAGCGGTGCAAATGGCCTTCACTGGTTTTGTGGTTGTCAGGGTTAAATTTTTGTGACGTCACTTTGTGTGGGCGTTCAAAAAAGTACACTTTTTTGTACGCTCACGTCAAGGATGATACACACTACTACTATACAGGATGACCCAATGGATGGCCTATCCTCATAAGGCCCGTGTGTAACAAATCCCCCCCTACCCCCCCCCACCCCATGCCAAACAACCAGTTGTGACGTAAGCAGCATGGCGTTTCTCGCCTTGACGTAGGCTGTTCAAACAGCTGACGACTTAGTTATGACGTCAGCAATGGTTAAAACCAATATGGCGACGATAAGTGGAAACGAGACCGATAAGCACTCCTTAGAGTGTGTATTCTCCTTTTGCTCACGCCACGGCCAGACAAAAAAGTAACAAAAAATTGTCGCCTGTGAAGTCAAACTTCAACATTAAGAATTGATGTGGAAAAAGTCGTAATTTTTTGACGTTTGAACCAATGTCAGAAAAGTGGACGCTAGAAAACGGCTTTGATAAATTCGTGACCACCAAACGATTTCTGGTAAATTCGACTAGGAATTGTCCAATAAAATTAATTATGAGTAGACATATCGGACAACGTCATATGAAATTTTGAATTGAATTGAGAATTATTTAATTTTGATTACTATGATAGGCAAAGAGAAAGATGAAAGCGAGGTCTAAAAAAGAATTGTTTTAGGATGTTACCTAATGTAGTGAAACCAAGTATGCATAAAGCAGATGCCCGCGGAATCATAACTTGTAGTGCAAACAGCCTACGTTGAGGCGAGAAAGAACATGCTGCTACGTCACAACTGGTGATTTGACATGAGGGGGCTTCGGATTTGTTCCACACAGGCCTTATGAGGATAGGCTATCCTGTAGTAGTTTAGTGTGTATTATGCCGAAGTAATTACTACCAAATGATAAAAGTGAGATACCAAAGACCACCAAAGAACCCCCAAATAATTGCATTTGGCGAATATTAAAAAAAAAAAAACATTTGGCCGGCTAAATACATGTTGCCTAGAATGAACCTTGTTTCAACAGAATATATGATTAGTATAATAGGCAAAGAGGAAGATGCAAAAATCTGAAGATCTAAAAAAGCGTTGTTGGATATTAATCAATGACGTACTAAAACCAAGTATGCATAAAGCAAAAGCCCGCGGAATCACCTGTGCTAAACACCCCATCCTTGCAAACACCCTTACATCAAGGCGAGAAACTATGCGCTGCTACGTCATCACTGGTTCTGTGACGTGAAGGGGGCTTGGGATTTGATCTACACATGCCTTATGAGTATAGGCGGGTAAACTATCCTGTAGTTGTAGTGTTCATTATCCTTGATGATTGTTAGCCAAGCTTCAACTTGTGGCGAAGACGAATGTCAAAGGAGAAAATGCTTGTTTCTACGTTCTTTTAACATTTGTGTGTCTCCGAGTTACTCGCACTTTTTAAGTAGAAGTTTCACTTCAAACTTTAAATATGCGTACCTACTAATTCTAAGCTCACGACCTCCAAGTCAAGGAAGATTCAAGAAACGACTATAAATTCTGCCCTAACATATACGTGTAAATGGAAAACGCTTAAACTATTCGTTAACGTTCGGTGACGCAGCATGATGAAAACGCTTTTTTGTTCTACTTTTTTTTCCAGTGAGCGAGTAGTGATTTAAATTTGACAGATGACAGCGATTCAAAAAAGAACATCAACAAAAAACAAAAAGAAATTAAATTGAAGGTAAGTTTGATAAATAAATTTTCACTTAAGAAATAGTTCATTAATCTTTATTAAAACATGAATTTATTGATAGATGAATCAAAGCAGATTTTGGGTTGAACATTGGGAACACCTCCAAACACAATATCCATACAAATTATCCCATTTTTATTTACCTGCCATTTCTACCAATATTAAGTATAGATTTGGAAACTTGAAAACATCTATTAAATTAATTGTTTGTAAAAAACGATTGTACTATAATTATTGCCTTATCTAGTGTGGATATCTCAGATTTCCAGAACAAACAAACACAACTTGTATATGTATGCCCTATGGTCTTCTCATTTCAGTAAGAGCCTGCTCTACTTAGTGCATTTATTCTAATATATCCCAATTGTTATAGCACGTAAATCTAGAACCTAACAAATTTCTCGATATCCAATCAGATTCACATTCATTCATAATTCATAAATTCATTCATCCATGTAGCATCATAGTTGCTCTGCTAGACATCACGTAATTTTTTTTGTCTATTTATTTATAATAGCTACTTATGTACCAAGGGCATTATGTAGATTATAATTCTTAGAAGACAAAACTAGCCTGAGGGCCTCTGGCATAAGGGATATATTTCCCCTGAAGGGTATTCTGATATTTTAATCTAAAAATACCCATGGTGCATACAATGCTTTATTTATTGCAAAATCAGTTAAACTTGTATCATAAGATTATTGTATACTAGACGAGTTCGAATTGGGTCAAGCACTGTGTTTATTCTGTATGTCATTGATTCTGTCACATTCTGGACAAACGTCAAGATTTGATTTATCGGATTTTGTGTTTTTTTGTGTGTTTAGGTATTGTGTTAATTAAAATTCCAGCAATTTGCATCGTAATTGGGTGTGAAAGTTGAGGTAACAGGGCTAATGTGAAATTTTATTCATAGTCGGGGAGCTGGCGTCGAAAATATGCAAGAGTTTTCGCAAGGCCCATATTTTCAGAATGAGTAGCATTTTAGTACTACAAAGCTAGGCTACAGTCAGCAGTTCCAGTTCCGGGACACCTGGCGCTGAGATGCGCGCAAAGGTCTATTTTTCATCAACACCTCGCAACAGTTTTCGCAAAGCTGAAAATTTGCAAAGAGCATGCGAATATAATGTAGAACCATAATTTAACAGTCAGACAAAGAAATACGGGGACACGTAGAGTCAGCGCGACTTTGAAGTGGTCAAAAAAATGACGTCACCGAAAGTGTTTTCGCATGGCTGAAATTTGGCAAGGTAATAGTAAAAACAATATATTTATTGAAAAAAACAATCAGACACTTCTATGTCGGGACCCCGCCAGTCAGCAGTCGATTAAAGTGATATAGGTGGTAGCGCGCGTCAATAGGCATATATCCATGTCGAATAATAATTTCACCAAAAGTGTTTTCGCATAGCTGAAATTTGGCAAGGTAATAGTAAAAACAATATATTTATTGAAAAAAAACAGTCAGACACTTCTATGTCGGGACCCCGCCAGTCTGCAGTCGATTAGAGTGATATAGGTGGTACCGCGTCATTAGGCATATATCCATGTCGAATAATAATTTCACCAAAAGTGTTTTCGCATAGCTGAAATTTGGCAACGTAATAGTAAAAACAATATATTTATTGAAAAAAACAGTCAGACACTTCTATGTCGGGACTCCCTCAGTCAGCAGTCGATTAAAATGATATAGGTGGTAGCGCGCGTCAATAGAATTTTACTCTATATACATATATCCATTTCGATGAATAATTTTATTTTTATAATTTAAATTATTTGGAATCGGAAACGGTAAAATAAAATTGTACATGCAGTTAAAAAGTTTGCGGTTAGAAAAAAGCCCGATTCGTATAAATATTACTTGACCATTTAATCAGCAGTACTGTGATAGTATACCTATAGTAATTAAATAAATTCAGTTTTAATTATATTTATTGTAGTTTCATTAAATACTCATAATCATCGCCGATTTTATAAAATACAAAAAAAAAATTCTAATCACATCTCCCGCTTCCCTTCCCCTAATCTCGACCTAACAGTACCATAATGAAGTTTCCGAATTCGAATGCATATACGCCTTATTCAAGTATACGCGCTTACGCTTGCAACTTACAGGTTTACACTTACTCATTAAGAGAAAAAAAATGTATTTTACCGTTTCCGATTCCAAATAATTTAAATTATAGAAATAAAATTATTCATCGAAATGGATATAATATATAGAGTAAAATTCTATTGACGCGCGCTACCACCTATATCACTTTAATCGACTGCTGACTGAGGGAGTCCCAACATAGAAGTGTCTGACTGTTTTTTTCAATAAATATATTGTTTTTACTATTACCTTGCCAAATTTCAGCTATGCGAAAACACTTTTGGTGAAATTATTATTCGACATGGATATATGCCTAATGACGCGCGCTACCACCTATATCACTCTAATCGACTGCTGACTGGCGGGGTCCCGACATAGAAGTGTCTGACTGTTTTTTTCAATAAATATATTGTTTTTACTATTACCTTGCCAAATTTCAGCTATGCGAAAACACTTTTGGTGAAATTATTATTCGACATGGTTATATGCTTATTGACGCGCGCTACCACCTATATCAGTTTAATCGACTGCTGACTGGCGGGGTCCCGACATAGAAGTGTCTGACTGTTTTTTTCAATAAATATATTGTTTTTACTATTACCTTGCCAAATTTCAGCCATGCGAAAACACTTTCGGTGACGTCATTTTTTTGACCACTTCAAAGTCGCGCTGACTCTACGTGTCCCTGTATTTCTTTGTCTGACTGTTAAATTATGGTTCTACATTATATTCGCATGCTCTTCGCAAATTTTCAGCTTTGCGAAAACTGTTGCGAGGTGTTGATTAAAAATACACCTTTGCGCGCATCTCAGCTCCAGGTGTCCCGGAACTGGAACTGCTGACTGTAGCCTAGCTTTGTAGCACTAAAATACTACTCATTCTGAAAATATGAGCCTTGCGAAAACTCTTGCATATTTTCGACGCCAGCTCCTGGACTATCAGTTCCTGCTATTTTAAATCATCGGCTTTTGATCTACAAAAGTGAATTATCAAAACAACGCAGGGCTTTATGGATTGCTGCAATTAAAAGAAAGGATCTAACAGAGGCTCGATTTTCCCCTAATAATAATACCTTAAGATATTCACTCTCCATCTCAGAATTTATTATTAGATTAAAAAAATACGTAGAAACATTATAAACACTATAAAATATTCACTTTGTAAACAAGGGCCAGAACACTAAAAAATACGTAGACATACTAAAAAATATAAAATTCACTATGAAAACAACAATGACCAAAACCAATGGAAAATACGTAGAAACACATAAAATTCACTTCGAAAGCAACAAGGGCCACAACACAAATGCTCTCCTTATAAACGTCACCGGCTTGTCATCGCAATATTTGACCCGAACGGCCATTATAAAATCACGTGATTGAGATTGCCTAATAAAACGGAGGAAGTCGAGCACATCTGCACCCACGTGATCGAATATCCATATCCATCTCATCTATCATCCGCGAGGTAATATTCGAACTCGTCTATTGTATATTGTATTAGGCAATTCCACTCATGTATAAATAATCCCATTTAAACTGTCAAAAATTGTAGTTTGCTAGCGGATAAATAGGAAGGAAGAGAAAATATAACTGGATAAAAAAATCGAATAAATTTTCTGTTGATGCAATCGTTACCATAGTAACAATTGCATATTAATTGGTTTTTGAATCATCTGTCAAATAATTGTGTCACAAAAATTCAAAAATTCGATCATTTTATCCTCGATTTTAGTTTATTAAAAGTGTTTTGTTATCTGAGATAAATAAATATTTTGTTTTGATTTTACATTCGTGGAATTGCCGTACTAAATACCATTCGAGCTCAGATTTTGAGCAGGATATTTTTTTGCTTGCTCTCTCATACTTACTTTCATGCAATTTATCTCGATCTGTTCAACAGCTCTCGTTAAATTTCCTGAAAGTAAGTATTCGAGACCAAGCCAAAAAATATCCGGCTAAATCTGAGCTCTTATGGTATTACCTACGACAATTCCACTCATGTATAAATAATCCCATTTGAAATGTCAAAAACCGTAGTTTGCTAGCGGATAAATAGGAAGGAAGAGAAAATATAACTGGATAAAAAAATCGGATAAATTTTCTGTTGATGCAATCGTTACCGTAGTAACAATTGCATATTAAGGCCCAGTTGTACAATCTTGGTTCAAAACAGAGTTCAGCTAAACTCAACTGGTACTTGAACTTTCGCATTTGAAATGCATTGCTGTCAAAATTGATGAAATTTGATTAATAGCTGACAGCAATGTGTTTCAAATGGGAAAGAGCTCAAGTACCAGTCGAGTTCAGTTGAACTTTCTTTTGAACCGAGATTGTACAACTGGGCCTAAATTGGTTTTTGAATCATCTGTCAAATAATTGTGTCACAAATTCGATCATTTTAGCTTATTAAAAGTGTATTTTTAAATAAAATTGGAAATATTTTCAACATGCACCGATTTGGGACAATTAATGATGAAATAATTGATAGCGAAATAGAAAATTCAATTCCTGAGAACACAAAGAGAGTCTTTTTCTCTTTCTGTAGGGTCAAATTCTAAGGGGCAAAAATGTATTCTAATTGTACCTTCAATAACTGTTCATTATAAAAAGTATTTCCATATTTTATTTTGATTATGCATTCGTGGAATTGCCGTTCTAAATACCATTCGAGCTCAGATTTTGAGCAGAATATTTTTTTGCTTGCCCTCTCATACTTACTTTCAGGCAATTTATCTCGATCTGTTCCACAAAATCACTCGAGCTGCGCTCTCGTGATTTTGTCGGAACAGCTCTCGTTAAATTTCCTGAAAGTAAGTATTCGAGACCAAGCCAAAAAATATCCGGCTAAATCTGAGCTCTTATGGTATTACCTACGATTATTTCATTCATTA